AGTATGTATGTATGTATGTATGTATGTATGTATGTATGTATGTATGTATGTACTGTATGTATGTATGTATGTATGTATGTATGTATGTATGTATGTATGTATGTATGTATGTATGTATGTATGTATGTATGTATGTATGTATGTATGTATGTATGTATGTATGTATGTATGTATGTATGTATGTATGTATGTATGTATGTATGTATGTATGTATGTATGTATGTATGTATGTATGTATGTATGTATGTATGTATGTATGTATGTATGTATGTATGTATGTATGTATGTATGTATGTATGTGTAAGAAAAAAAACGACACAAAGGGGGCGCTTCCCCGCCCTGGGCTTACTACGCCACTGCTCGGCACGGAAGCGATTCGGCAAAATATCCCGAGAAAAGCTGTAATTTATTTGGTCAATCTGCAGCATGGCGTGGTCACGGTCGTATAAAAATTGTCAACCTGATAGTTTATCACAGCAAGGACTATAATTCAATGATAGTGGATATGAGTAGAGGGTCGTCGGCACGTCGAGTTCTGTGCGCCAATTGCAAGCTAGTGGCGGCTTTCGAAGGTGCGTCTCGTTCGATCTGCTATCAGCGCGACGGAATGGCAGCAGATGCGTGCCCCTCGAGGAATCGGTCGAGAGACTAGGCCGCAGCACACAGGGGAATGCTCACTTTCTTCGGCCCACAAGCAATACTGCCGATGGCTGGAGGAATCCATGGAAAATTCCAATAGGCCATGTAGAATTTTAGCTTCGGCAACGGGAAACCCGTCGACAATCATATCGGAGGTCATATCGTGGGGGCTGAGATGTCAGAATATCCTGATTGCTCTCCAGTGCTGTCGAGCGGTGAAGTCGAGAGATCCCCGCTCTTCAGAAGCTAGCATTGTCGCACCTGCAAATATCTGCGATGTCATTAGAGCATGCAACCGACCGCGAGCCGAAGGGAGAGCCGTCGCGCGTCGTTGGTCGTCGTCCGTTCGAGATGATGTCAGCAGTCGAAGCTGGTCTCAATCGAATTTACACGATCCGCAACAGTGGCTTCTGTGAATACGGGTCAAGATATGTCACAAGGGGTCCGGTGCTCCTCTCGTGTCATTGGTGGAGGAGCTAGAGATCAAGGAGCGGCTCCGCGGCGCCCGCACCCTTCCGACGTTGCTTTATCGCGTTCATGCGACGACTAGCGGCAGCTCCAGAAGCCGTTTGAGGATCGGCACTGCTGACAGCACCCTCACGGGAAGTTTGATTGGGCTCCCCGATGAAACGACGTCGAGTCTTCGGGAGTTTCTCTCGAGCTTGCGTGTGACTATAGAACATGGTGAAATTGCTAACTATGACGGGGACGGGTAGACCGATCGTGAGAACGCCGGCGAGGGCGCACAAGGCTCCAACGAGCATACCGACGTAGGTCTTCGGCACCATATCCCCATAGCCGACCGTAGTCATTGTGATCATTGCCCACCAAAGGCCTTCGGGGATGCTGGTGAAATCATTCTTGGGGTTTACCCCCAGTCTCTCGGCGTAGTATACGAGAGATGCGAAAATCACAATACCTAGCACCAGAAAGAATACCAACAAGGCCAGCTCTTTAGCTGAAGCTTTAAAGGTGTGAATGAGTATCTTGAGACCTCGCGAATGTCGGGTTAGCTTGAATAATCTCAGAATGCGAATGATGGAGAAGAAGTCCAAAATGTCGGCGTTCTCCAAGTCAGCAGCTAGATATTGTAGGAGCATATCGCTATAGAATGACATCGTAGCAATGAAGTCGATGATGTTGATTGGATCTTGGGCGAAGTCCAATTTTCTAGGGTTCACGACGAATCGCACGACGATCTCAAAAGTAAACCAGGCATTGCAGACGGATTCAATGTAGAAAAAAGCTGCATGCGCCTCGGTTTTAACCTTGTCCAGGATCCACGTATCGGGATTACGGCTCTTGCCGCGGAATTTCCCGTTTTTCCGAGTAACAAGCGTAGGTGTTGCTGTCGTCGTTAAGAATGGCTGCCGATTCTGATTAATGGCATATCTGCTGAAGTTCGCGGATGGTGGAAAGTAGTCCACCTGTTCGATGGTTCGATTCACAATCACAGGTACACGCATATTCGGATGGGTTTTCAAACAGAAAGACACGATGCTTACACAGATAAAGAAAACCGACATGACCGCTATGAACTTTGCATAGTGAGACGAGTAAGGCTCGTCCATGAGGAGCCAGATTTTTGGCTTGATGGTCTGCCAAAAAGACAAACTGTTGTTGAAGTACGCGTCTTCGTACCCAAACTTCTTCGCAAGATCCTGATCCGATGGTTTCTCGTTCTCGATATCCAATGTGTCGAGAATGGCGAGTGTTGCTTGGGTGTCGCGATAAACCGTATAGGTCATCCAACAGCATGGTTCGACCTGAAAGAGGAGACCTTAATGTTCCCGATCCCAGTTTTCGGCCGCAGCCGGTGACATCATATTTCCGATGATGTCGGGAATCACTTCATGGGTACAATCATTACCTGATTAGGATCAAGCCCCCAGTATTCGAGCTCGTCCTCGAATAGGGGCCCACACACGTTCGTCGGATAGTGTAATTTCCCAGTTCTGTAGTAATTCAATATTTGAGCGAACACTCCGGGATGACGGTCGAAGAAAAACTCATTGAGTAGGGGGTCATAGTTTGCTAGGGCTTCCGTCAGTCGAGAGAGCCGGGTTGCCGGAATTTTTTTCAGAGTCTGTTTATAGGTCTCGAATCGGATCCCACCTACGTTCAGCACGACACGATTCTCCGCATCAACAAGACCGCGACTCGCGTGATGCATCGCGGAAGATTCCCGGGCACTCAATTCCAGGAGTTCAGGAAGCTCCAGGACAACGGAGGTAGCTTTGAGGCATGTCAAATATGCGGATAGAGGTTGTCGGTATTGACGATGACGATCCTTTGATCTCGAGTCACGTGAGATTGGCGATGCGTTCTGGAGAACATACAAGTCGATTCATGATTGAATCCACTGCTCCCGCCCGACGGGTCGGCGAGACCGCGACGACAGCAGAAGGGTCAACTCGGGGAACAGAGACCCTGCATCAAGGAGTGTTTATAGCAACGGCGCGGCGTCAACGGCGTCAGCTGTGGGCAGGACTTGGGCAGCCTTGAAGATTGGACCCGCTCAGGTCACTGTCGTTTCTGCTCATTCTCGAGGGCGACTTCTTTGGGGAACATCGTACTGACCGCGATGAGTGTCGCTGAACGCTGTTATACGGAGGGTTACTGATTACAGCTGCGCGGATGAGCAATTGTGCGTTCTGTCGAGGAGTAGCGCTGTCGAACCTTGCGCATTGATCTAAGCTTGAGTCGAGCCGCTGCACACTGGAGATCGTGCGCGGTGGAAATTCACGTCACTATGATTCTTCAAGGGTCGCTCCTCCTGCGGTGAGTATGCTCGGCGATGGACTTCCGAATTTGCACGCAGATCTGAACGATAGCATACTGTACCGCTCGCAGTCGACAGAGCTCCGTACCGGGAGCCGTGGGACGGTGGACGCGCATGCGCGTAGCTGCCCTTTCGCCGCGTCAATTCCCGAAGTTCTTCCTGCGATGTGATCCCCTCAGTCGTGAAGACGAGCACCGGAGTGGGCGGAACTAAAGTCGCTGAAATCTGTCGGGAAGCGCGGACGGTACAAGACATCGTGACGAAAAATGAAGAAGGTGGAATCACCATTCGGTCGATATGCATTTCAGGCGGAATGACTAGCTATTGGGCGGAGGGCCTGCCGGGCGGAAGTCCGCCTCGGCGGAATTCTATGTTGGCTGCTTGGGCGAAGTGCGATATCGGCGGACAGTGCATAGATCGAATTTGGTATGATGAGATCGAATAAAATCGAGGACAAGTAATTACTGCGAGGAAAACACCTCAGATTCACAAAAGACTCAGATGGGCCCGAGGACCCACCCTGCGATTCTCCGAGCTTGAGATTTTTTGCTTTCTCTGTAGAACAGACGAATGATGTTGGGTATCAAGCTTCGTTGCCCCTCTCCTCCTTTCCCGTCTTGGGAGTCCAATTAATACTCGGGCTTGACCCGTGAGAATAAAGAGTATCAAATCATAGAGCGTCCTTATCAGTTACATCACATCCCGACAACGGCGCCGTCGAGTGAAGGTAGCTTCGGAGATACGAGAAGAAAAAGATGCCCTGGACAGGATAATCGAGGCTCTCAGATTGCTGACAACCCAGAAGACTCCGAACCCCATTCGATGAGCGAACCGCGCAATGCCGGATGGACCTCACTGATTGTCAGCAAGACTTCAAGGCCCAACTCGATCGTCGACGTTGAGATAGAGTTCGTAGCTTCCGTCGAGGTGAAATGGTCACAGTCAAGCTCTCGAACGGCCAGAGGACCTCGGCTACCATTCGAGAATTCGTTGGCAAGTCGATGGTCAAGCTAAATTGTGATCGCAAAGTCCTATTGCGACGAGCAACCAGACAGTTGAGCTAGTCAAAACCAAGGATCGGGATTCACCGAAAGTCATCAAACATTCGATTCAAGAGTTGATGGAATTCAAGGATCGGTTAGTCAGGGACGGCTCTCTTCTGGTCAACAGTCCCGCCGCAAGTCTCACGTCGGGGGAAGTAACTAAGCGAAGTAAAAGAGGACGGCAACCAAATTTTGATCTGAGAAACATGAGGGAAAAATGAGCTCCTATCACAACGAAGCACATATCAACGGTATACTTGTCTGTGGCTCTCAGACTCGAATATAGATGTATCTGATCCTGTCAAAGTGGCGAATGATTATCTGGACAGAATGTTGGCCCATGGATTCTTGGTGAACAGTGGTCCGACCCGACGCTCAGGTTCATCTGAGACCTCAATCGACCATGTACTGTTGAGAGCGTTCGAGACTGGTGGGGTGTCGGTGGAAAGGACGTCTGAGAGACGTCGGTGACACGGGTACACGACGCCCTACGGGTAAATTGATCACAAGCTGGACCATGTTCTCAATGCGTATCACCAGATCAAGGACCTGAACGCTATGCTTGACAAGTCCCTGACGGACATCGATCGTAGCAGAGGGCAGTGCTCCGCGAAACTGAATTTGAATAGGAAAAAAGTGCCGATCAAGCCATGGGTGACCAGAGGTATTCTCTGCTGTATCGGTGTCCGAGACAGGCTTTGGAGGGATTCCAGGTCGTACCCTGACAACAAAATCCTCGGGTCACTTTAAGGCTTACAGGAATACTCTGCGGAGTCTGCTTAGGAGGGAAGAGGAGAGGTATTTCTGGTCCCGAATTGATATGTCGGGTGACCCCAAGAATTCGTGGAGAATTATAAAAGAGCACATGAGGGGGAAGCGTTGCACGAAGAGGTTCCCGAGGATGCTCCTTGGGGACTCTCCGCTTACCATCGAGATCCAAACAGCCAACAAATTCTTTGCGAATATTGGAGACAAGAAAGCTGAACAGGTTTGACCGCAGGGCTCGACGTCACAGCTTCCGTCTTACGCAATCAGAAGTACTATCATCAAAGTCAAGGAGCCGACAAGCATTGACATAGAGGGACAGTTTATGATATGAAGCTCGGAAATTGCAAGGCGCCCGAAGCTGACGGCTTCTGTGCGGGGACGCCGAAGAGAAACATCGATTTCTTCTCTGCGGTGCTGCAGCATATAACCTCCCTTATATTCGAGACTAGGCATGTCAGCGGTTCCAGAACCGCGGTTCCGGAACCGCAAGAACCGCGTCTCTCCCGCGGTTTTGGAACCGCGAGAACCGCATCTCTATCGCGTTTCCGGAACCAAACCGTCTCTGCGTTTCCAAAACTAGACAATCGCAATATTCCGCGCTTATCGAATCGCTCGAACTTGAGGGAAAGGCTAAGTGAGGAGACGCATCTCAAGGGAGCAACACCATCGTATTCGGTATTTGAATCGACTCTTCATTCTTCTTCGACGCGACAGTCAGGGATCATTCACGGCGCGCTATGAGAGAGGACAGAGGACGTGCATCATAACGGGGGTGTTTCGAGAAACGATGGAACGACAGAGAGGGAAAAGTTTGACAGCTGCTCGTTGTCACGGACACGGTCAACTCGATGCCGGACAACTCGATGCCGACACCTCGATGCCGACAACTCGATGCTGGGACAACTCGATGCCGGGACGACGCGATGCCGGAGAACTCGATTCCGGGACAACTCGATGCCGGGACAACTCGATGCCGGACGAATCGATGCCGGACAACTCGATGCCGGGGAGCTAGGCAGAGCTGCATTTGAGCAGTCCGAATGTACCCGTCGATCGCTTTCATAAGAATTTCAACTAGAAACTCATTCCGCGACCAATGTTGCACACTGAGACTTAAACACTTTGGCCCCGTCCGACCCAGGGAAATTTTTAATTCGAAAATCGAACGCAACTCGGCTTTACCGCTACTCTCGCTCATCCACGAACAAGGGAACTTCTCGACGCGGCAGTCTCACATCTCTAGGTGTGCACTCCACGCTCTGAACTTTTCGCTAGTGTGCGTACTCCTCCACAGATCTTTAGAATGACCAGATTTCTGCCGTGATTGGCTGCACTGTACCGCATATCTTTGAAAGGATAAGCTGATCGATAGGTCAAATAGATTCAGATTGATTTGCTTCCGAAGAAAATCACGGAAAATTGTGCCTAATTGTGACTGAGCAGGAGTTTCTTGAGGCGGTGTTATTCCAAAACGACTATCTGTCGCTGTCCCGATCGGGCATCGATTCGTCTGGCATCGAGTTGTCCAGGCATCGAGTTGTCGGCATCGAATTGTCCGGCATCGAGTTGTCATGTACCGTCATTGCCATGTGACTGTCAGACTCGGTGCTGAAGTTTGGGAAACGGCCGGACACCATGGATGGATCTGTTAAGAAAGAGAGGACGATCTGAGAGAGTTTTGTGTGAAGTGATGATGACAGCGCTGTACCACACACCGAAACGATGCCAACAAGCGGAGAATATCATTTCAGTGGATGAGCGTGTCGTTTCTACTCAATGTTTGAGAAACATCGCCTGATTCGTATCAATCAATCGTTCCACAAATTCTCCAATCTCTATTATTTCCCGTGTTATCCTTTCGGTTGTCCTCAAACAGCGATACATGTATTGAGTACCGTCTCGGACCCGAAGGCGGAGAATTTTCATGGCCATGTAGAGCATATGCTGAGGCGTCGCTCCGCGACGGCCCCTCCGTCGAATTTCCGACATGCACATAGTGTAGGCACTGGAACGCGCCCCATTATTCGCATTGGTTTGACGGGCGACGCCGAGGTATATACCGGGGAATGATAACTCCTCGGCGAACTTATCGAAAATGAGGCTTTCAGGCGTACGATCCTGAGCAGGAGCAATATCCAAGCATTGTTCCTCGCTCCACATTAGTGTCTGCTGCCTCGCTTTAATCAACTCCGACTCTGGTACGTCGCTTATATTCATGGACTCGATAGCATCCTACGAAACATCTTCGAGTCCTGTGTCCGGGAAAGTGCTCTTGAAAACCGACCAATCGATCGATATATTGTAATGCTTGTACAGAGGTTGCTGAACGAGATAATTCAGCCATAAGCCGACGGTGGATTTCTTCACGAAACCGCTGATGTAAGAAGACTTATGAATGATGTTTTTCTTCAAATTGACGTTGAACGCATAGTCATCATCAAGAGACCGCGGCAAACACCGCACTATAGTATCGACATCGACCGGCACATTGATAATCTGACCAACAATGCCATAAGAGCCTTCGTGGCGAAGGCGACGAATCTGCATGAATGGGATACGCGGAGAGATGATTTCGGTGAT